TGAAGGTTTTAGGAATCTTGTCAAGCAAATTGAGAAGCAAAACCTACTGTATAATGCAGAGGAAACCTTATCGTATGAAAAAAAAAAGTTAAACATAATGTTTCCAAAATGTGGGCTGTAAGGCTCTACGCGGTCGACGGACTGCAGCCCATATATGGGCTGCGTGGGCTCCATGGTGTTAAACGGCACTTTTTCCACTTACAGTAAGCCACTGGAGCTCCTCGCGATTTCTTCTCACCTATCCGCCTAATGCACCCTCTTTCTAATATCCATCTTACTTCCGTTTCCAGTCTCCTATCTCCTCTAAAGTGCAAGAATTTCGCTTGAGAATATCGTCACTTGTAAAGTATTCTGATCGCGTTCAAAATTCAAACGTCTCATAGTTTCTAAAACGCGAATGACAGGATTTCATTTCTTCAAGTGAACTCCGTCCCATTTCGCTATTTGATGGCTGATTAGGGCGTTGCATTTGGACCGGACAAGGATTCGATGTCGGTGTTATTATGTTAAGGCTTATTCGCTCTTTTCTCAGAAATTTCTATTCAACTCAATTTTGTTTTATTTAATCCTTCTCGTTCAGATCATACAACATGAAGCAGAGTCATCGAATCAAACAGAATACACGAGAAGGAAAACTGAAGATTTGAGAAAGCGTCATGCCACACAAAGCAGGCAGCAACCTAGAGAGCTCAAGGTTCGAATTTCTTTGCCCTGCTCTCGTAACTTCGGCCGTAGTTCGCTGCCGAAGAGTTAATTCATAGCAGAATTCTCGTTTTCATTTTGATAGTCCAACTTATTTCAGTTGAAAGAAGCGCAAATCCGAAAGCAGTTCCGCCAAGCTGTGAAAACGCAAACCAGACAATTTAAACTGTACCAAACGCAGTTGATGCAAGCTGCTCCGAAAGAAGAACATAAGGAGATTGCAACACAGTTGAAAGAGGTAAAGTTTTTTTTTCAATTCCGAATCTGTTGAACAGTTGAACATTCGTCTTATTTTTTCATGTTACAATACGAACTGTAGTTCCATGACCGCTGTATCATAGAGGGCGAACCTTTAGGGTGGCGACTCCTTTCTCCCAAACTCTCTAGTGAAATTTGCTAGGTGTCTTTGAAACGCTCGGTGTTCACTCAGCAAAGCTAATTTTCAACTCCGAAGACTTCTGCCAAAATCTGGCACCCTCAAAACTAACAAGTATTGATTCCACTTGGCGTGGCTGTGTGCGTTGCGCACTCCATGTGTTTTGTTTCAGAAACAGAAACACCGCATCGCTTTGCTGACGTCCCAATATGAATACCAAATCGAAAGCATGGTACAGGAAAAGACTGTAGGTTTTGTTTCATTTTTAGGTTTTGCATTGTGGAGTAATCATTTGTGTTCGCTTCATTTCTTCAGAAATACTGAGGATATTTGAGCGTTTATCGACATATATCCTTATACTTGACAGGGTGCAATTGTATTTTTGTTACTTATTTTTAGGGGAAATTGGAATCATGGCAGGAAGAGGAAGCCCGATTACTGCATGAACGGTTAGCAAAAGAATTGGACGAGTTGAAGGAGTACCAGGAGAAGCAAAAAGCTCAGCTGGAGAATACTATTGACAAGGTGATCAATTTTTGTGTGCTGATCCCTGTGGAAACTATTTACTATCATTTTTAAATTGTGTAGTATATATTTACTTTCTTTCCCAGCTCATTGCTCGATATCGCAGGCTTTACCACTGTCCGGTACACTTTCCTCTGAGTTTTGGAGTCCCATCGATTGCAGAGGATTCCAGTGGACTCCCTTCATTTTATCCATCGTATAAATATTGTATAACACAGAGAGGCACCAAAATTTTATTTCAAAAGAATTCCAAAAGTTCAGAAAGTTCGAAAATTCCAAAAACTCGAAAGTTTCAAAAGAGCAAAAAGCTATTTGAAAAAGAATCCTTTTGAAATCCTCCGCGATATTTCGGTGTTTAACACCTTCTTCAGGCATGTGTTTGCCACTGCCAAGTGTAAAGCTGCCCTTACGGGAGCCGCGCCTTTGTAGTGAAGAGAAATGAAATTTTAATAATATAGAAAGGCAGAGATTTCAATTTTTTTTTTTTTCTCTTCACTACAAAGGCGCGGCTCCCGTAAGGGCAGCTTTACACTTGGCAGTGGCAAACACATGCCTGAAGAAGGTGTTAAACACCGAAATATCGCGGAGGATTTCAAAAGGATTCTTTTTCAAATAGCTTTTTGCTCTTTTGAAACTTTTGAGTTTTTGGAATTTTTGAACTTTCTGAACTTTTGGAATTCTTTTGAAATAAAATTTTGGTGCCTCTCTGTGTTATACAATATTTAGGTGCTGATGAGGCTCCGGGACAGCACAATATTAAGAGATTTATAATTTATACGAAGTTATGCTATGACTTGCGCACCGTCACTAGCTAGATCGCTTCCCAAGCATCGGGAGTCCTTTACACTTTCGATGAATTCTTCACAGCCACCCACGATCGCTTCGCTTTTTTTTCTGAGCTCAAAAACTTGGTCTTCTTGACGTTAGGCCTGAGCTACTCTCTGCAGCACCCCATGGCGTTCGTGCTCTTCTTAAAGGTCCTCCCTGTTGCCCGCTTTCAGGGTGAAGTCGTCTTTTGAAGGAATGGTTTTTAAGTCTCCGCGTGGGCCTTTCACCATGACACTTGTATAGGAAGAAGGGGGAAGGGCTCAACGTTGTTCTTAGTGAACCATAACCGTACCCTGCAGAGCACTAGTCTTGGTAGACGGTCCAACGCTTCCTCCAGGTGAAAAAAGCTAGCACCGGCTGAGGTTTCCTCAAATTCAAAAGTTCAAGAAAGAGGCAATTAATTATTCTAACACAAACCATAAATAATTTTCTGTACGATTATACTACTGCGTTAAGGAACGGACGGCGCTGGACGAGCGTATCGCTTTGCGTAGAGCTATGCTGGAGCAACGTTTCAAGGAGGAACGTGAAGACATGCAGAAACAGAGGGAATCGCGAAGTCGGGCTACTGCCGAAAGGCACGCTGCCGAAGAGCGTCAACTAGCGGGTGACGCTAGTGGCAACTCGTCCCATACGACCGCTCTCTGACACCTTAACCTCCTTTTATGTGCAGGTAATATGGCCGAAAATTCGGCAAGCTTCTCCTTTCGTTTTTCTTTACCTTTCTATGCACCTCGATTTTATTTCGTGGTACACATTTCAATGTCGAGCTTTGTTAGTGAGTTTTACAAACATTATGAGCCTTATTATAGTTGAATAGGTATTGACAAAGTGGTCTTCTAGTCCTAGCTCATTCTACCAATCTTCGTTCGTGTGGCAATATGTTCATTATTGGATTTCCCTGGTGAACACTCTGCGTATAGTAGTTGCGTAGTGCTGCGATGTCATGATCAGAATATGGAGCTTAAAATATTGTTGTGAATATTGCGATCAGATTCTTTTTTGTTTCTTATTTGTTAAACATAGCAGAAGCATAAGAAGCAGTAGCGAAACAAATGGGGATCGACAATCACAGTGCTTTAAGAATGTGATTGCTGTGTCATTTGTTTTGGCTCAGATCCGTTATGCTCCTGTTCTGTTACAACAAGGCATTTGTGGATTAGAGAGGCTATTTTCCCAGCAGTAACTGATAGTCTTGCCTTGCTCTTTTTGTGATCCTTATTGGATGCATCCTGAAGTTTTGCTGGTTGCAGTTTTACTTGAGTTTGACAACGTCTGTTGGTAGGCGTCATTATAAGCAGAATAGTTATTCCATAAGCGGATTTTATGTAGGGTTACGTCCATTGGGATCGAATTATCATGGTAATGGGGTGAGTGTAAAGAAATTGATGCCGATGATTTTTACCAAGAATTCGCTCATAGTCCACACTTGCCAGTGCTCTTCTCCATCATCTTTCAGCGTTTAGTTCCTCCATTTCATCAATGATGTCGTATCTCTTTCTCGATTTTTCCTCGTCGATCTTTGTTTTTACGCACATTCTCTCACTCTCACACTCAGCCGCAGCCTTTTTTTCCGCTCTGCTCTTAATGTGGGTGAAGATTTCTTTGTTCATGTACGCTTTAGATACACGACGTCGATGTTGTGTCGATCGTGTAAAGATGTGATATTAGGAATATTCATCCGTTTCTCTTTGTGTTCGAACCGACGTAAGAAGTAAACCAAATGGAATGGTGCAAATGCTCATGTCTTCTCCCATCCGGGAAGCGCCTACAGCTCGCATAGGATAGTGGGAGACGGATTTTTATATGGAACTGTTGCCACTCCGCCTTGATAGGAGCAGTTCCATATCAAAATTTGTCTACCATGTCGGCTACGGAGCTTTATGTACTTCTTAAATGTTTGTTCTTACTTGCTTAGCAAAAGGGATTCGAGATTCCGCCATTTCCCGTTTACTTCGAATGAATCAACGTCGGCCGTATGATATAAGATATCGAATCAATTGTATTGATAGGGGCCTTGCGTTTTTTCTTCTCGTATGGGACCAGCACTCAACGCCGTGCTTGCAGCAACACTCTATTTTTGTAATAATTTATTTGCGTATTGTTTTGAATAAATGCATATTATTGTAAGCGAATTCAGCATGATAACATCAGGTTATCGTACACTTCTCAAAGTTATTGAGGTAGGAAAGACTGTGCAGTCGCCCAAGAATCTCCATAGTATCTATTAAACTCAGCTGTGCTGCTTTTTTGACTGGCTTGTGCCTCTCTGTTGCTTTTTTTAGATGCAATTTGTTGTTAGCGTTGTCGCAAATGTGTTCAGTTGTAGGGACAATCTCGGCCTCGATGAGGATCCGAACTCGCACCATGTTTTTTTGGTTTCTTGCTCGTCCGTTACACTACTGAGACTGCTACCCTTGCACTGCACCTGGCTACCATTCCCATCAAGTTTTCAATATATCACATAGGGGGGGGGCAAGAATCAGTATTTCTCCTCTCAATTTGAATAGAATGCAGGCATCATCTTTGCTAAATTTTCACCAAATACTCAACAGGAATTGAGAGTTATTTAATCTATCAAGTAACTTTTCACAGCCTTCTAACTATCAGACCGACATCAGGGAGGTTTTTGTTCCGGGAAAGGGCACGTGTGCGTGCTGAAACGGTTCGGTCGACCAGTCGATGGACCATTAAGGCTTGTGGTAACGCCTGATCGATTCGGTCTTGCATAGTCGGAGTCTATTGTTTTCTAATGGAAACTTAGTTATCAGTCAGGCCTCGTTGTGCTCGACGGTGATCGCACATGACATCATATTTTGAAGCACCGTGGAATCAGTTTCTATGGACAGCGGCACCCTGCGCGACAAAAAATTCGGGATGTGTGCCGTGGGTAACGTGACTTTTTTGCCCTACCCCCCTGTATGTCTCCAGTAGATTATATTCAAATGCTTTTTGCTATTTTCCTCCTTTCTTTTGGTAGCGATACCCGACAGGAGGCCCGTCGCGCGGCAAGAAGGCAGAGTCAGCGGACGAGTCGCAGCGCGTACTGTAGGGATTTCGCGTCAAGTTAAATAGAATGCCATTGTACGTCCTACATCGCACATCACGCGCTGCGACTCGTCCGCGACTCTGCCTTCTTGCCGCGCGACGGATAGGCCTCCTGTTGGGCACCACAGAACAAACCTACTCTTCTCTTTTGAATAGTGACAAAAATACATTTCCAACGAACCTGCGTTTCAACTTGTGAGCGCAGCTCTTTCGCCTCATACCATAAGCTTGCTCCCTTCTTCTCAGGTTTGCTGGCCGTCTCGCTTTGTCACTTATCGGCACAGTTTCCCTTAACAGCCCCACACCTCAAGAACTGGTTGGATTTTACCCGAAATTTATCCATAACTAAAGATCTGGTTAGTTTTCTCTGGAGATATTTCAACCCGTGGAACGTAACATCACATTAATTCAGCCATCTGGCGCCGGCGCTATCACAACAGTTTTGCGCGGGCGCCCGTAGCGCAGGCTACAGGCTCACTCGCAACAAACTAATGTGATATTCATGTTCTACGGGTTTAAATACCTCTGATGGCAAGCTTTCCAGCAAATTTGGTGATCTAAGGTAATCTGGCGGCGGCACCGTGGTGCGCCCGCCAAGCGTTTCGCGCTGAATGGGTGTGACGTTCGTGTTCTACGGGTCGAAATACCGTGCGGGCAACTTTCTGGCCGAATCCACAGTAATGGACAAATTTCGATGGAGAACCTGGCTCGGTGCCTTCTTATCTGTTAATTTTTTTCAGCTCCATTTCTCTTACCTTACCAAGTTGATTCTCTCGAGCTTGAAAGCCCTTCATTGCAGAAAGTCGTTGCTCGTAATCGGATCTTCTAAAAGTTGTAGAAAAATCGATTAGCAATTAGCTTGATTAGCTTGAGCCTCAACACATCCGAATCCTTATATTGCTTCCAATAGTGATTTCTCAGAACATATTTGCTACATTACTTGAAAGTTTAACACTTCTCGTGCCTCAAGTAATTTTCGTAGTCGCTGGGTTGGATCGCTTATGCAGGCATGGATCTCATCTGCTGTCTTGGCAGCGGTGGGAACCATTGCGTTGGACGTTGCGTCAGGGTTAGAACGGAATTCCCTTCCCCCATGGGGTCTCCAGTAACCTCTTCTAGCCTTGCACCATTGTAGATTATCCTGATTCTACTTAGCACGGTCTCTTCTCCAAAATATTTGTTGATCAGAAGGATGAGAGGCCGTATACGTAAGAGCAAAGTAAAAAATAAGAAAACTGTAAGTTCATCTAGGTTTCGTAGGAAAATTTCCCCATTACTCGAAATTTTCGCCTCCGACCTTTTTCTAATTGAAGCTCTCATTGCACTGAATTCGACCCCTTCAGTGGTCGTAAATGTAACCCCATTAGATCACAAACACTGCTTTTTTGTTTAATTTTGCTACGGTTGACTCTTCCGAGTCGACTTCCATTAGGTTTCTTAAAAAAATGTAAGATTTTAAAGTTCGTTGCTTACCGTTTTAGACAGAGTGCGTGTGCAAGCATGGAAGTATGTACATGCACCACTGGAAGCAGTAGTCGTGGGCCTAAGAAACTAAGATATGGCCTTTCGTGGCCAAAGGCGCGCTAGTTCAGCACCCTGGGGCTGCCAATCCTCCCTGAGCTCCGCCTCCGCCGCCTGTGCTCCGCCTCAACGTATAAGTTGCTATAACAGCATCAATTGTTCTAGTCATTTGGATGAGATATTCCACTTCGAGTGTGATCCTATAACTTTGTCGCTGAGTGCGTCATCAATTAAAACATGGTCTTTGCTGGAATGATAGCGGCTATCAGTTAACATGCCCAACCGCACCCTCCGAGTTCGTTGTAGTGTTCGCCATTATCGAGTCAAGCGGGCAAAGTAGGAGATCCATTTTCAACCCGCGTTCTTGACGGACCGGACGAAGCCTTCCCAAACGAGACGAAGACATTGTGTAGCCGCGGTTAGAACGACTTAAAAGTGACTCTCACTCCTCACTAAGTGGAACGTTCTTCCAGGCAAGCCGCGCTTCTTGGAAATGGTTTCTTGCATATATGTAGGAAAACGCATGTAGGACCACATACCGGTGTTTCAATTTTCACCTGAACGGTGTCTATGTAGTTATCAAAAAAAGGCTTTATGAAAATAAGTGGTGAGTGATACCCGAATGGTTCGGTCCCCCGCGGCGACTAAATTTTGCAATTAAGGTTGGCGGCCACTTGGTGGCTTCATAATGGTCCTGACGATGAGTGTGACACCTGATTGTGACATTTGGCACGATTTGGCACCAATTCGAAGGCGCCAACCCAAATGCAAAATTTAGTCGCCACGGGAGTATCGAACCAGTAACACTACTTTATGCGCATGTCTCTTTTTGGTACTTCCTAATCGCTCAGCGGAATAAATGAAACATTAGTTTTGTAGTTCCCCTACATGCATCCTGACAATATGCCCACCAAGCGTTTTGTGAAAAAAGCCATTGTCTTGCGCCCTCGAAGACCTCCCTTGTCAGCACTGTACTTTGCAAGTCATCTAACACGAGCTGAAACATCTGTGCGCAAAACTTCAGCACGAATTTATAATGGAACTAGATCGGCTAGCTTTTCCCCTTTGAGTGGCCTGCA